ATTTTCAGGAACTTGGTCATCCCTTGGCCCAGCTTTTCACATTGGATGAAAATCTTTTGTGAGCGCATGTTATTAGGGACCTCACAGACAGTAAACATTTGTGGCCACGATTAAGCAGAATCAAGATTGACCTAGCAGGTCTAATCTTCCTGTGATTTAGAGATAGAGGGAAAAATACAGTGGACAACACAATTAGCTTCTAGCCAGTTAAATGCAATGGTACTTCCATGGGTTAATAAGGATGGAATTGACATTTCACGCTACAGCTGCGGCTTCAGCGACACACTCCTAAGGACCCATACACTACTTTTTCCTGTGTCCCTTCAAGAACCAAAATGACAAAAACGGGAATAAACAGCTCTGCTTTTTATTTTACTGAACTACAGGACTACTAAATATTTATAAGACATAATGAAATCCTGTTATTAAGCTAATATTTTCCCTCTTGAATAGATTTCTCCAGTGGCTGTCAAACATCTTCACATCAACTGTTGCCAAGTGCAAGCTTAACAGCCCATCTATAGCTGGGAAAACAGGATGAAAGTTGGCCACATGATATTGAGTAAACAAACAGTCCCTTTGCCTCTGCAAAATACTTTCCACTATACCAATCAGGCAGAGGATAACTCAGAATCACTAAGTTGTCAGTTTTCCAGGCTAACTACAAAAAATTCTGACTTTGAGAACCTGGCTTGCCAATTCCTATTGCTCATACAAGATTTTCAAGGCCCTCAATATGTTCATCATCAGCATAGGTCAGTCAAAATGAATTCATGCCTCTTCTTTCGCCATAATCAACATGGCATTACAGTGGAACTCTTACAGATATCTGAAGGCAGGCACGTTAAAGATCTCCAGCTTTTTCAATGGGACAGATGCAGGGAAAATAGATTTAAAAGTAGGCTGAATTTTTTGGGTTGATTTTAAATAATGGAGGTTTAAAAACTGTTCTAGCACAGCGGTATGAGACGAACCTCATCTTGTATTAAACTAGTTATGAGCATCTCTCTCTATGAAGATGTGACAAACCTTGAAGGCTGAGCATCATATATGGGGGACGCAGCTGGAAGAAGGTAACAGGGGCAGGAACAAGAAGGAGAACTGAAAAGTTTCCAGCTGAGAAACACTGAGAAGCAGGGACTTCTAGGAAGGACTTCACCTCCAACTCTCAGATACTTACCTGTTT